TTGTACTCCAAAGCAGAAGTTGCTCGAGAATGTTATTTAATTGTGAGCAGACCTGATCAAAGTTCTTCCCCACACAATATAATGTTGTATCATCTGCATACATGAACGAGTCTCCAGATGTAATAGCATTAGGGAGGTCATTGACGTAGATAGTATAAAGCCTTGGACCCAGGAGGGATCCTTGGGGAACACCATATTTCACTTCATCCAAGTTAGAAGGGTGGTCATTTACCACAGTGTATTGAAATCTGTCTTTCAAATAATCCATCAGCCACTCATGGAGATTCCCACTTAATCCAATAGCTTGGAGTTTTAATGACAAGATGTTGTGTGAGATGCTATCAAAAGCTTTCTTAAAGTCAATAAATATTGCACCCACAATCATACCTTTATCCATATTCATCTTCCAGGTATCTGTCATTTTTAGTAACATGCCTTCTGATGATAGTCCTTTTGTAAAGCCCCACTGTGAAGAACTTTTTAGAGAGGAGTTACTTAGGTGCTCATCAATTATATTACAGACCTGATGTTCCAGTAATTTACTTGGGATACGCAGCAAGGATATAGGTCTATAGTTGGCAATGTAATCCAAAGGAAATCGAACTCGGCGAAGCGCTGACAAAAGCGCTGTCGGGCCCTTCGGTTCTCCCGAAGGGCCCGACATCTTGAATGTTTCGTTTAACATATAATTTAGTAAAACCAAGATATTTGGGTATTTTGAGATCATGTGACCGACCGATGCCAGAGCCTTTTCCCGCCCCACCCCCAGCCAAGGGAAAAGGCCCTGGGAACGAGGTTGGATCATCTTCCTTTGAATCCTACCATCGGAGCCGATATGTAATGGCTCCTGTTATCCATCTGTATTGCACGACTCGGGCAGTTAGAGGACCAATAACCAAAATCAACAAATCAAAATGCTCTATTGCCGGTGAATATTCTCTCAGTATTGGACCGGGCACTGTCCCGAATGGTCCCGAATGATACCGCACTTGTCTCCATTTGAACTTCAGTCGTATAATAAATCTCTTATAACCAAGCTTGCTCGGAAGACCTCGGGCCGATATTCTCCCAGTACGGCCCTCACGCTTGGTTAACAAGATATATGTATTGCCAGCTATAACAGTAAATTCCCACTCTATGGGAGGTATTTGAAAAGAAGTAAGAAAATCTAACCGGTAAGAGCGTAGCTGGTTAGCGAGCGAAGACGAAAAGAAATGGCGAGG